GGCCGTAACTTTAAATTAAGTCGGAATCAGCTCAAACTTGCTACACAGCATAAGTACATCAATATGTATCAGAAAATGTAATAAAAATTGGAGGTGATTTCGGAACCATTTTTTAGAAAAAACCATGGGCTATAGCCTTGGGTATTTTTCAGGATTTTGGCGTTTTCTTAAAATGGCTGTAACTTGAAAAATTAAAGTCGGAATCTGCTCAAACTTGCTACACAGCATAAGTACATCAATATGTATCAGAAAATATAATAAAAATTTGGTGTGATTTTGGGGCCATTTTTTAGAAAAAACCATGGGCTATAGTACAGTGTCTTTTGTTAATTTTTTGTTATTTTGTAGAGACAAGGCAGTAACACCAGGGTCAGGGCCTGCCTTCACTCCATTCAAGAAAACGCTGTAAATCATTATCTGGAATTCATAATTAATTTTTATTTTATATTTCTATTATTAATTATTTTTATTAGCTCCACCCCCTCTCAGAGAGGATCTGGTGTTCCTAAAAGACTTCTAACGTCCGTTCCTTTTGTCTCCTCTCCTCGTCACTCCTCCAGACCACAGAGGAACAAACCGTGAGCCACGCCCTCTCTCTCATTATTTCATTCCATTTTAGTGTGCAAGATCCTTCAGCTACTCCTCCACAGTCTCCTTTATTAATGTCCTCAGTCCATCGTAGCAGTACAAAGAAGGGAAGGATGGATATGAACGTGTTCATGGAGCGAATGGAAGGTTTTAAAGCAAGGATGGCTATACTCAAGTAAAAATGGAATGAGTGTACATGTACTTATCCAACTTTCTCACTCTTTTTTTATTTAATCTTTTTTTTGTGGCATAATGTCATTGGTTCCTTCTCTACAGCGCTATGAACAGAAATGAAGATAGGGATCCTATTATTATCAAGACTCCACTCCCAAGTCGGTCCATACTTGCCACGCCTACTTCAATTTTAAAAGCAAAACCGACAATATCTCAAACGTCTTCACCTCCAGTTTTTACTGACACGACCACAAGACGTATCAGGTTGGTCGGTACAGCCAATGGGTGGAGTCACACATTATTATTATTATTAGGTTTGCTCTCGAAGATTCGGGAGAGAAGTTAAGTTCTAGCGCTATTGCTATAGCAACGCCACTCCCACCTTCTGACGATGAGTCTGATTCATTTTATTCACTCGATGGTTCAGGTGATGAGATGGGCGGAGACAATGAAGGCATGGCTCAAGCTACCATAGCATCCCCTCCATCATTTGCTAATGAGGTCGTACTAGGTGACGCTGGTGGTAGAGACGAAGGGTTAGTGGTTTAATGGTTCCCGTGTGATTTATTATTAATGATGATAGGGAGATGGAGGGGTCGTTTATTGCTGCAGAAGATGAAGAGGAAGAAAAGGAGCAAGAGCAGTCTGTGTCCACTTCCCAACTAAAGTTAGTTTTATATCTTTTATGGTGACTGAGGAATGATTTTTTGTTGAATTATATGTATTGCATTGTCATTAATTCTCCTTAGATCTGCTCTCAAACTGACTCCTAGTTCTCTTCGTTCCTCTTATGTACCACCTGCTCCAGTCAGTATGGACACTGTCTCTTTATCTCCTGTCATCAAAATACCAAAGAGACGTCTTCCAGGATCAAAGATGGCTTCGAAACCATCAACATCTGCACACACCCCAGTTCATTCCAGTGTGATGGTATCCACTCAAGAGTACACATTCTCTCCCCCGAGCACTGTTGCTCCTCCCCCTCCCCCTCCTAGTGCTGTTACCCCAATGACAGTTGATGATGAAGCTAGCGCTGCACCTGTTCAAGAAAAGACAAAGTACGTATTCTCTCCTCCTCTTCTTCGCTCGGCTAGTCGTGAGAGGAAAAATAAAGAACTCTCACAGTTTGGAACTGGACTTGATGCAGATACACCAAGCACAAGGTACTACAGTATATTAGTACTTCTATA